TCGACGTTTAAATTCGTACTCGGTCGTTTCGTCGAAAGGTACTTCCGACCACCATATTGTTAAGGCAAAGTTTGTAAGATTAGGACAGAAAGCAAGCAGACGGCAGAAGGATTTAAAGCAAAGGGTTGTAAGGTTGTCTCAATCAAACATGCTCGTTGAACTGGAATGTGTATTATCCGTACAAGGAATCTTTCAATGAGAGGATCCGTCGACCTAATGGTATGTTATGATTCAACATACATTTCACAATAAAAAACGAGCAGTTTTCTTTCTTTAACTTCACTATAAGATTGTTTGTATAACTTAGTAGATAAAACATCAACCAATATTTTAAAAGTTAAGGTTCGAAAGTTAAAGGATCTATTCCATACGAAAATTGACAAAATTGACATTGAAGGGTAAATATGTAATTTAACTTTTTTCTAAAAAAAATTACTAAAATTAAAATTTGGGGGTATTTTATTGATCCAAACCAATTAAATTCCCATATTGGCATATACCGACCTTCTTTAATCAAAATCTAATTAAAAGCTTCAAATAATTAAATTTGTAAAATTACATATTTAGACACCCAAACATCCCTTTCACCTTTCAAACAGAAATCTTTTAAGTTTCATTATAAATACGTTTGGAAATGTTATGGCCAGAGGAAACCTCAGGCACCTCTCCGAACCAGCGGCGAATTAGCGCCGCCGGGAGTTGCAGAGGAATCATAGTACCCAATGCCATGGCGAGTATTAGGAAACATCACAAACACCACGCTCGAAACCGCTCCGACGACCGGCGGCAGAACTTGAACCAACAATTTATCTGCTGCCGCAAAGCTCGGGAAGAAGCACTTCATAGTATCGGAGTCTAGAACCACCAAAGCTCCAAAAACCAGAGCCGAAAAGGTGGCGTGTACAAAATCCCCTGCCCTAAGCTTGTAGGGTGACAGATCAACCTCCTTGGACTCCGGCGACGGCCACATTCCGGAAGCGGTCGCAAAGCCCCAGTGGAGGGCATCGTCGTCGCCAGTGTAGGAGTCAGTGAAGGAGGAGAGGAAACAGGAGAGACCACAGAAGAGGATCAAAATTAGAGAGAGAGATTTGTTGATTGGTTCGCATTGGCCGCTGTTGGTGAGGATTGGGCTGAGGAATTGGAAGAGGAAGACAGTACCGGTGGGGAGGAGGCGAATTAGGTTTCCAACGCCGGTTAGGGTTTTCTCGGTGGCAGAGGCGGCCATGAATTGAAGTGGGGATTTGATTGATGGTTTTCTGGTTGTTCTTGTTTTTGGCTTTGATCGAGGCATTGGGTGGTGGTTGCAGAGGAATTTGGAGATTTAAATAACGGATTGAAGATGGAAGGATTTAGGGATTTAGGGATTTGGGGATTTCGCTTATACGCAAATCTATGAACAAGACGATGGTGCTTCTTTTGCTTTTACTTCCAGAAATGGTTTCACAAAATGGATTTTTTTAAAAAATTATAAATGAGAAAAAGACTAATTATATTTTTGATGAACAATAATTGAGTTTTTTTTAAAATATTTTAAACTTTTAATTCATTAATTGATTTATTTATTTTTATTTTTTAATTCATTAATTCGATCCGATTGTGAGACTAAAGTTATTAGGTGAGACTATAGTTATTAGATCAAATGGTGAGATGGATAATATTATGAGTGGAGTTAGAGTGGACGATATCTGGCCAAGGTGGACGATATTTGTTAACGGGCCAAGGTGGACGATATCTACTAACGGGGCAAGGTGGATGATATCTGCTAACGGGCCAAGGTAGATGATATCTGTTAACAGGACAAGGTGGATGATATGTACTGACGGGCCAAGATGGACGATATTTGTTAACGGGTCAAGGTGGACGATATCTATTAACGGACCAAGGCTTGGGTGTAACAAACGCTATTAAAACCCGACACCAGACATAGAAATGAAAACAATATGTTTATAAACTCGTAATTCGAATTATTCTATAAGCGTAAAGGAAATTGAATTTTATTTATGAGAAAGTAATATTTAATTTTTGAAGAAAGTGGATTTTGGGAAAGAATAAAAAAAAACAAAACGGCTTGTCCCTTTCTAGCCATGGGATCGCAGGCCCTTTGTTCAACGCCACGTGTCTCAGTTCCAAAGGAACACTCTATTTTCCCTCAATTCTGTGTTTCAATCTTCTCAATTTGTCTTTCTTCTCCGCTTTGCTACTGTTCATGATTCTTCCTTGTTCATCTGGTTCGATCATAGCTCATCTACCGATGGCGGACGGGAAATGAAGGCTTGTAATTGAAGTTACGAGAAGCTACGTAGAGAGAGA